AGGAAAAAAGAATTATACCGATATCTGCAATAGTTTCGTTTTTATTAACCTTTAAAAAAAGTCAGTTTCTCTGCCGCACTCTGTATTAAAAAGAGTTGGACTCAAGGGACACCCCTGTCTTACCCCTTTTTTTACCCAAAATTCCTTTGAGACTTCCCCCCCTATCCTTACCACGCATCTTGTCTCCTCATATATTTCTTTTACTCTTTCTATCAGTACATCACTGATACCCCTTCTCCTCATCATTTCCCATAATACCTTCCTATCTATTTTATCAAACGCTCCTTTTAGGTCCATAAAAAATGCCCACACCTTCTTCTTCTCCTTTAGTCTTCTTCCTACTAGGTGTTTTAAGATCTTTATGTTTTCTATTGTTCCTCTTCCTTTTCTAAATCCTGCCTGCGTTCTGCCCCATCCTCCTTTCTCGTCTAGCTCTTTCACCAACTTTTTATTTAGAATGTTCGCATATATCTTATACGCAGTGCTTGTAAGCGTGACACCCCTGTAATTCCCTACCACATTTTTATCCCCTTTTTTCCATATCGGAACTATCACTCCTATTCTCCATTTTTCTGGGAATCCCTCTCCTTCCCAAATCTTTCTATAAATTTCCTCTAACTTTACACTTACTTTATCTCCCCCCATCATCCATGCTTCATTTCTTATCCCATCTATCCCTGCCGCCTTACCCTTCTTTAATCTTTTTATTTCTAATCTTATTTCCTCCCGACTTATCCCTTCGTCTTTTCTAAATTCATTCCGTCTTTCTCCTATTTCTGCCGTTCTCTCGTCAACTCCCTCTAATGCCGTCTTAAAATACTCTACCCACTCCGTTCTTTTAATTTCCTTACTTATTCCCTCCTTTTTCTTCCTTCTCCTATTTATAAATTCCCATGCCTGTGCTTCTGTTATAATCTTTTCTATCTCTCTCTCCTCAAGCTTCTTATGCTCTACTTCTTTCTTTTCACATGTATCCCTATATTCCCTTCTTTTTTTCACAAATTCCTCATATCCCGACTTCCTTCTCCTATATCTTCTCCCCGCCCTATTAACCTCTCTCTTTTTCTCCCTACACTCTCTATCCCACCATGGTACCCATCCTACCTCTTTCCTTCCACCCTTCCTCTTCATTTTAGGTGCTCTTTTCATTACTTCTTCCATTTCTTCCCATCGTCCTCCCCCCTCTCCTTTTTCCCACTCTACTTCCTCTATATTTTTCCTAAATATTTCTATGCCCTCCTCTGACCAATCCTGTATCATCTCTGCCTCGCTCTCTTTTTCCTTCTCCTGCCTTGTATATTCCTTTCCTAACTCTATCAATATTGGCTGGTGATCTGATTCTGCCCTGCATCCTATTTCAAAACATCTAATTTTCTCTTCTGCCTCCAGATTTACAATTCCATAATCTATCACTGATTTCCCTCCCGCTTTTTCATACGTCCACTCTCCTTCTTCATCCCCTTTTTTCCACCCATTCAGTATCAACCACCCTCTTTCTCCCACTACCTTCACCAGCTCACACCCTTGTTTGTTTACCACTCCATCTTTCGATCTCCGTTCTTTGCCATTTTCTCCTTTTTCTTCGCCATTTTGGTCACAAAAACCCCCTTCCTTACCAATTCTTGCGTTAAAGTCTCCTACTATTATCATATTTTCTTCTTCCCTCTCTCCTATCATCTCTTTTAATCTATCTAATTCTTCCTTACTTCCCTCTTTGTTATATACTGTAACAATTCTCCACCTCTCCTCATCTACAACAACCTCTCTCTGCTGTATCCCCTCTACTTCCTCTTCACTTCTACTTCTTTCCTCTATTTCCTTCCTTATCCCCGTTATTATCCCTCCCATCGCTCTCCCTCTTTTCTTTTCCCTCCTCGCTGGCTGACATTTCCATCTCCACCCATCTGGCATTTTTTCTTTTATCTTCCCCCACCCAGCTTCTTCCACCCATGTCTCACTCAAACCAATCACATCGAAATCTTTCAGAAAATCCCAAAAATCTTCGTCTTTTCTCTTTAATCCTGCGATGTTCCAGAATACCCCTTTTATACTTCGTTTCTCTCCCTCTTCCGTTGCTTTTCCCTTCTGTTTCCCCCCCTTTCTCTTTTTAACCCAATTGTGAGCACGCTTGCTTAAAAAATCTTTTCATTCATACACTTGCGCTCTTCACTCCACACATATTCTTTACCATTCATCCATGCTTTCCCAAAGCCCACTTTTACTCGCCTACCTCTCTCTTTCTCTCTCTTCGCCCAAAGTCTAATCTCCTTCTGTCTTTCTCTTTCATCCTTCGTTAGATCATCGTCTACATATATTTTCGTACCTGTCAATTTATTTTTCTTCATCATGATCTCCTTTTTATCATCCAAACTATTAAGTTTCACAAGCAGCACACTCTCATTCGTTCTATCATTCATTCTATCATTCATTCTATTCCCTATCTTGTAAACTTCTCTTATTTTTATTTCTTTATCTAACCCCCCTAATTTTTTCAAAACCCCTACAGCAGCATCTTTCATATTTCCCCCCTCTACCTCTACATCCCGCATAACTACATTTAGTCTTCTATCTCTTCTTTCTTGATCATCTCTTCTTTTTTCTATTTCTTCCACTCTTTTCTTCAAATCTGAATTTTCTTCTTTCAACTTCTCCATCTTTTCCCTTTCCTCCTCCTTAAATTTTTCAAATTCTAATTTTATTTGCTTCATCTCTTCTTTTAATTCTCTTCTTATTATCTTCATCATATCATCTTTATGCCGCTGCAGTTGTCTTTCCATCATTTTTTCTATCTCCTCTAAATTCGCCATTTTCTTCTCCTCTGAATTTCCCTGCTGTTCTGTCGATTTTCCTGCTTTTCCTTCCTTCTTTCGTTTCGCGGCTTGCTGTTCGCCTTCACTGTCTTCCGACTCACGCGCTCTGCCCCTTCTCGAGAACCACGAGCTTGGAATGCTCGCTACACTGCTATCCCTCCTTTCCCTTCCTAGCAGCTCCGCTTTCGTGGGTCTTCTTCTCTTCCCCGCTCCCTTCTCTCCACTCGTATAGAAGGAGGATTAGTAACATTCAAGGTTGAATTTTCACGAAGGTTAAGTGTTGAGAGAACTGAAGTGTTTAAGAATGTTGGAATCAATGGTTTACGAAAAGAATCATATCTGTATTGTATCGATGCAATCCTAACCATAACCTATTTTTCTTTTTTACTAACCAAAGGAATTTTGACTCTAATCTTTTGTAAAATTATCCATATTAATATAATAATACAGTCGCTTGGTAAGTTAATCATGGATTAAGTTAATCGCAATGATTTTTAATTTGAAACTACTCCGAGTCAATTGAAATCGATTAAAAAATGACGGCATAAAATTTATCAATAAAGTTCGGGTGCTAGTTTATTCTTGCGTTCACACACACACACACACACACACGCACACGCATCAGGCATAAATACATCATCCAAACATCGTCCAAACTCGATATTATTCAATCTTTTGATTTCATATTTAAAACAAATGTAAAACTTAGCTAATGAAATGATCGTCAAATAATAGATCAATAATAGATAAATTCTTTATTTAAATATAAAATAAATTATATTAATAAATTATATTAATTATTATATATTGTATTATAAAAACGGCTGTTAAACTAAAAGACTGTGGTACATAAATATTGTAAAATCTTATATTTTTATATTATTATTATTATTGTAACAATTAAAGAATTATAGTTTTGCAATATTTGTGGAATATTACAAGCATATTATACTAACATTTTGCAGGCATATTGTTAATTTACATTTCTGTATTACCTCTGCAATGTTACATTGCAATCTGCAATATTGTTTC